AGGCGCTCCCGTAGGGATGAGGGCAGCATCCCCCGATCGGCGCGGCCCCGCGGCTGCCCCGCCCGCCCCCTGCAGGTGCTCCCCCGGCTCCGCGTCCCACGCCCCCCTCTTCCCCCGGGGCCGCCGCTTTCCCACGCTCGCTCCCCACCCCCCGGGGGCACCGGGCGGGGTGAGGGCCCTGGGAAAGCTCCGCTCCCTCCTCGGCTTCCCACGCCCCAACGGGGCCGGACTACGCGAGGCAGGGAGGAGCCGAGAAGCCCTCTCCTCACTCACCTCTGCCTCTGCACCTCCAACGCTAAGCCGCTGCTCTGCGTGGGGCTCAGCAGCCCCGCGGCCCCCGGTTTGACGGCGCCCAGCAACGCGGGAGGTCCGGGGGGGGCGGGCGGGCAGAGGGGGCCGCCCAGCAGCAGCGCGATGCCCCCGCGGGGCGGCTCCGCGTCCCCTTTCAGCCCCGCGGGGGATGCGGCGGGCGGCGGCGGCAGCAGCAGAGCGGGAGGGGGCCCGTTGGGCGCCCGCGGTGGGGACAGCAGACGCGGGGGGGCTCCGGCCGGTTCGACCGCTTCCTCCGCTTCTCCCGGGCCCGCGAGGGGAGGCGGCGGTTTCTCAGCCTCCGAGCAGGAAGGCGGGCGGCCGTCCAGGGAGATGTTGTTGAGGAAGAAGAGCGCGGCCTGCCGCCGCCGAGAGTCCCCCCGCTTCCGCGGAGGCGGTGCCGGCTGCTCGCGGGGCGGCCGGGGGGCCGGGGAGCCGCACGCAGCGGCCGCGGCCATTCTCCGAATGAGCCGCGAGCGCCTCGGCAGCCCGGGCGGGGCGGCTCGGAGAGCGGCGCCGCCGGCGGCTCGCTCGCTCATTGGCTGAGTGCCGGCGGGATGCAAATGAAACGGGACGAAACGCCGAGCTGATTGGCTCGGACTGTGGCCGCGCCCATCCCGCCGGCCGGCAGAGCGCCGCAGGGTCCTAGCGCCGCCGTGCCGCCGCCGCAGGGCTGCGCTGGTCGGGGGCTGCCCCACGCACGGCCCTGCACCCCTCGGGGCTGCGATTCGGGCAGCCTCCTCCTCTCTTGGCTGCGTCCCTTCCACACCCACATCCCCACAACCACCCATCGCATCGCTTTTTTTTTTTTTTTTTTAAATAAAACAACTTTTTAAAACTTCTCCATCTCTGCTCTCAGTGTCACATTGCCACAGTTTTGGCCTTCCTGCAAGCAAGGATGGCACAGCTGCACAAACTGTTATCCCCACGGAACGGCTCCGCACGGCACACTGCTCCCAGTCTCATGGTTATGCTGTACAATATAAGCACACCCTCTGGCCCAGGTGATGCTCCAAGAACTCACTCCTAAGGGCTGTGCCCCATGTGCCAACCCTGGAAGATGTCAGTGTGTGCTGCTGATATTGTGCAGCTCTGCCCAGATGTGCTCTGGGAGTTTTGCTGGGTGCAAAACACCAGCAACCCAAACGATGGCCAATGACATGAACTGATGTGTGTGCCCTAAGTAGCAAATTAGGTGCTGAAACTGTCCTGAAAGATGCAAACAGGTGCTAAGGACTGTGTGATGAGATTACTTTGGCTTGCAGTTACAAATGGTACATTAGCATTTCTATCACATCTATAACATTTAATAATATCAGCAATAAGATGGGAGATATAATTTTTTCCTTGTAGGCACTCATTTAAAGACTGTTATAATAAGAGAGCACAGTGTGAAGTCTCCCCTCAAAGTCCTGAGAACATCCTCAGTACCTTATGATATTCAATATAGGTCAGATTTTGAGCCAAAATTACTTGGCAGAACCATCTCATATCACAGCTGTGAAAAAAATAATTTGGGATAAAGCGGAACTAAAATCCTTCCTGCTGGCAGGCTAATCAAATAAGCCAAGGGATAAATGGGCATGGAAACCTCACTAGGCTTCCTGTAAACAATTCTCTAGAACTCAAGATTCAAATACATTCATAAAAAAAAGCAATTTTTTTTTCTTCATCTATCCTTGCAAAAGCAGCTGTAGGACACAGATTGCCCCCATGGAGTCAGCATGGGGTGAAGCAGAGGAGGTGGCCTCCATTGCTTGGTGGGCTGCTGCCTTCAGAGCTGAAATCAGAGGTGTGAGTATTGCAGTGCTGGGAGCTTTCATCTGCATCTGATGGGCTCACAGAGTGTGGCTGCAGTGGGCACAGTGCTGTATTTCATGGATCTGCTGCTAAAAGGGATGGGTGGCCTCACTGCATTGCTCTCACAAGGCAGGGGCTGGGTGCAGGGCAGGGGGATCTCTGTTCTTTGCTGCTCCCCTGCGATGGGGAATTGCTGCAGCTGGGAAAGCTCTGCTTTAGCTGAGCATGCTGCAAACACATGGATCCTATTTTGGAAAGGGGTTGGGATTGTCTCTGTGTGTCTGCACAGCTCCAAGTTCCAAGCTGGAACACACAGGAATCTTAATTTCTGCCAAGCCCCAGGTGAAAGCAGGTGGTTCTGCATTACTAGCAGCATCATTTCTTGGATGTAAAGCACTATTTTGAATTTCCAATACATAACTCAGTTCACTTTGCTCCTGGACTAACAGATGGATCTTACTGGATGCCCTGAGGAATGTGGATACGTGGCTGCTTAGCCAGGAGTCGCTGGAATAAGGCCCTGTTCTGGCCCTTATTCCAATATTATGTGGGCAGCAGAGGTACCAAAGACACTGAGAGTTTTTTTTTCCTACATGCAAGAGCTGCAGGATTTGGCCTGAGCATCTGATATGAGACAGCATTTAAAGTACATCCGTGGGCTGGGTGTTATGTTTTTGCAAAATCATGGCCTGAGCTCAAGCAAAGATAAGCAGGTCAGGAATATATTTAGGCAGGAAGCCAGAAGAGCAGCCTTCCAGTTGGAGCAGCTGCTCGTACGAAGATGAAGCACAAGGAATCTTTGTACATTTTCCATCCTGAGCACAGTGTAGCCCTTCTGCAGTCTCATGTTGCTCAGGTGCTCTCCTCTGCCAGCCTGTGCCATGTGGGGAATGAAAGGGAAACAGTGAAAAATGCTGCTTTAGTCCCTAAGCCCAAACACTGGGGCATGGTTTGAAAATCAGCACTAATCTCATAGGCCTTTGCTGAAATACTCTCCTTAGCCCATGGTTACAGCAGCACATCCTGCACCCATCAGTGTCAGGCCCTGCAGCAGCATGGTCAGCACTGTGACAGCCCCCATTGTGGAGCCCAAGCCCAGGGGACATCAGGCAGGACAATTCCCTGCAAGGAAGTTGGGCTGAGGTGGGGGGTCAGACTGCGCTCCCAGCTAGCACTGATAGGATGAGAGGTGATGGCCTTAAGCTGTGCCGTGGGAGGGTCAGGTTGGCTGTTAGGAAACAACTTTTTCTCCAAAAGAGTGGTGATTCAGTGGCACAGCTGCCCAGGGGGGTGGTGGGGTCGCTGTCTCTGGAGGTGTTCCAGAGCCGTGGAGACGTGGCTTTGAGGGATGTGGGTGTGGGGGGTGGGCTGGGGTTTGTCTTGGGGGATCTTAAAGCTCTTTTCCAACCTCAGTAGTTCTGTGATTCTCTTCCCCTCTCCTGAGCAGGCTCCAGCCCAAGGTCTTGTGCCATGAACCCCTCATCTTCATGAAATCCTCTCCAACCACCATCACAGCCAGTCAAAGTGATCACCGTCACAATCATCACATCCATTCCAGCTGCCACAATTGAGATTACGCATTCTCCTGAGCTCCTCCAGCCCTATATATTATGCCTCAGAAGTTTTTGCAGGGTACCATTCCCATGTGAATGAGTATGGCTTCAAGTCCTGCCCTTAAGCTTTGTCCCAACACTGCAGCTGTCCTACATCAGCAAGCTGTGGGGTCGTGGCTGCCCGCACCATGCCTGCAGAGTGCGCCTGACCTTGGGAAGCACTCACCCAAATGTCCATCCCACACATATCCCCCAAACGGGACTTAAGCAAGAGTGCAGCAATGCCTGGAATGAGTGTTCCTGCGGTGAGCGGAGGGGTGAAGCTGTGTTCCCAAAGCCAGCACTATAAATGGGCATCACTGAGCAGATCCCATTTAAAGGGATTTCACTACAGAGAAAGTGGCAGACAGCCTCATGAAAAAGAAACAGCCTTAGGATATCTTCAAAATACCTCCTGCTGTAGAGGGAATGACACTGCTGAAAGCTTTAAGGGAAGGAGGAAAATCTGGCGTGCACTTCTCTATTTTTGGTGCTTTTAGTTCCTGCATCCCTGTTCACTCCCAGCTCTGTTGCTGCCTCCCTGCACAGCAGCAGCTCAGTTACAGTGCAACAGAGGAACCTTTGTGTGGTGGCATTTTTTTTCCCCCGAGGTGGAGATTTATATTCACATTGAGGCTTGCGCAAACATATTTCTTACAGCACTTTACAAACCGGTAGCTGGAAATGTCACTTTGCTGCTGAGTCAGTGGGAGGCTGATGCATTGAGGACAAGGGGCTGCTGTGCATCCCCCAGGTCTGCGGGCTGAGAGCAGCTGGCAGTGCTGGGAGAATGATTCAGCATCTACAAATGCTTAAGGATCAGCAAGCAAAAAGCTTGGAGTGGTCTGCAATCGGAAATGTTTTGCATGACAGGCAGCAAGGCAGCCAGCCATGCTGTTTCTGATGGCTAAATCAGAACAGCAATGCTTACCCTGTTGCTCTTTCAGATTTGCACAATTTTCAGGCGCAGCCAATTGCAAGCAAGCTGCTTTCCCAATCTTGTTCTCTGGGAAAGGAGCTCAAGGGCACAGGCACGCCACCTGCATGCACATCTACATGGATGGCAGCAGATCTACGATTTATTCAAACAAAACCAACATGGACTGCCAGCCCTCTGGAAGGACTGAGCTGGTTTTGGGACAGCCTCTCTTCTGCTTTTTTGCTCCAAGGGACATAACTCACGCGTTCATCATGGGTAGATTTTGGGTCATTGCACAAGGCAGTGCTGTGCTCACAGCTTCCTTCCTTATAGCAGAACAAGCTCAAGCCTCAGCCTGCCTGGACATCACTAAACCAATACTTGCATTTATCTGTCAAGAATCACACAAGCAAGAGACTGGCAGCAGAACTACAGGCACTGATGGACTCCAGCAGTTACCCATGGCCCTGCAGAATGGTGGCGGATGTCAGCATGCAGGGGCTAGATGAGGGCAGCATTACAGGGCTGGATGGATTGTGGTGTGCGAAGCATGATTTCCCTCCAGCAACTTGCTACGTGTGCTTTGATTCAGAAAAAAAAAACCCACACAACATGGTTTATTTGTTTTCATAGTGATGGGATTGTCCTAACTACGAAATGTGTGTCACCTCCAAATTCCTGGAACACCTATGCATGGAGGTATGGGGGCACTAGCTGAGAATGTCTGCTGGAAAAAGGCAAGAGGCAACACAAATAAAATAAAATAAAATAAAGGTCCAATAAGAGAAAGTGAATTCTGTGCAGTGCACTGCAAAGAAAAAAAAAATTGGTGAATTTGTTTCTCTTGGCAGCACTTCTGCTTATCGAGGGATCATCAAAGGGAGGGGATGATTTTATAGTTGCATAAAAAATCCTTCCCTCCTTCAATTGTCCTGGTCTAAGGCTGTCTACTTGCAGAGGGACCTTTTTCAGGTTTATATCCCTTTCTCCTTTCCTTCCCATCCCTTTACCCCAGCAGCCCAGGGGAGGCGTTGCGGGGCGCAGTGCGGAGCGGCTCTGCCCGGCAGGCGGCACTGCGCGCCCGCGGCTGTCTGCTCTCAGCGCCGGGCCCAGGAGCCCTGCTCTCTCCCTGTTTGGCTGCAGTGAGTCTTTTTGCTTTATTATTAATGTTATCATTATTGTCTCTATTAATATATATACGCATACTTATCTTTTTTTATTATTTATTTTTATTTTACCTGGCTTGCTCTAAGAAGATGGAAACACAATGTGGAGAAGATACCTGTGCCAGTTGTGCGTCCGGCTGGGGGTTTGGCTTGCCATGCTTCCCCCCCATGTGAATGGGACAAACAAACCCTCAGTAAAATAAGAGCAGTGCCAGGCAGAGAAAGTGGCTGTGGGAAGGAACCACACCACAGGGCACGTGCTGTCTCTGGCACTTTTGCTTCAGCTCTGTTTGCTGCACGTGTGCAAGGAGCAGCCCTGCCATAGTGCAGCACTGCTCACTCCTGCTCTTCAGTCCCATCCCAAGCAGCAGCACTCCATCATTCGATGCTGAAGGCCATGATTCAGAAAAATTGCATGAGAACAGTTTATCCATATGAAAACAAGCTCTCTGCATGAGCTGCTGGGCTGGGGCTGTGCCATGGGGTACAGCCAGGACCACACACCTGGCTCTGCTGGGGACACCAGACACCTCAGGCATGCTGTCCTTTCTCATGCTCTTGTCCCTTCCCTCACTGGGAATGTGTCTCATCTGCTTGGCCCATGTGCTCAAAAAGAAATCCATGGGCTTTGCAGCTCAAACAAGATCCACACCTGTACGAAACCCAGGTCAGGATTGAATTGATGCATAGGGACAAAGGGACCTGCAGTGCTCAGGTGGGCACTGGGTTCTGGGCCACAGGGAGTGAGGTTGGGGTCCCTCCTCCCAGCACCAAATCCTGAGGAACAGTATGGTCCCTCTTCCTGGCACCAAGGTGAAGGTCCATGCTTGAGCCTCTCCCAGGAGCACCCAGGGAGGGTTTGAGAGTGCTCTGCTCCTGAAGTAGTTCTTATGGGTCCTTGTGGACAGCAGTTGCTCTCTTGGTGTTGGTGGAATACTGGATCTGAGCTCTTCTCCTTCAGTTGCAGTGTCCATGTGTCTCTGCACCACCCAGTTAACTCTCCTCAGAGGGGTCATGGTGGGAAGCCAAGCAGCTCTCCGCTTTCTCTGTCATCCCCAGCGAGCACTGCTCCACTTTGACTTTCTTTCTTCCTCTCATTGCCTTCTTGGAGCCTGTTAACAGCAAGATGAGCCCAAGAGGTCACTGCAGAGTAATGGATTTGCACATACAAGGCTGATGTGGTCTAATCCCAGAACAGGGACTGCACAGGGGGAAAGCAAAGCTCAGCAAAAGAGAGTGTGACAGGGCCATATGTAAGGCTTGATGGCCACACTGGCTAATCCTCATCTTTATCAGGAACAGCTCTCTGCTCATTCACCTGTAGGAAGTGTGGGTCCAACGCATTCCTTTGTCAGCCAGGGAAAAGCTCTGAGGCCACAGTGGAAAGTCAACAGAGCTGGCAGAATCCTTGATCTGAATGTCAACAGCTTGCTGCTGGGAATTTGGCTGTCCTCAGCCAGCTCCTCCCAAGTGGTGAGCAAACAGGATGGACGTGGAGCTGTTAGGTGCTCAGGGTGCTCTCTGGCCAACAAGCATGGCTTAAGTTGGAAGGAACCTTAAAGATCATTCAGTTCCATTAAGAGCTCTGCTCTGACTGGGGATACTGATGCCAAAAGCATGGTCCAGTACAGCTTATTGCAGAGAACCATAAGACTCCACTGTGTCACGTTGGGCAAAGGTGTGCACACTGGGGTTTGTTTGCAGAAGAACACCCATGAATAGGAAAGTGCCCAGAGCCCTCGGGTGCTGCACTGAAGGAACCCCTCAGGAAATAGAATGAGAAACTCCTTCCTCACCTTTTGTCCAGGAATCCTGTCCTCTTCTCTTCTTCTGCAGTGCATGAGCTTTGTCTTTGGTGCAAAAATATTTCCCTTCTGACTGGGCTTCTTGCAGGACGTCGTGTTCATAGGGAGAAGCCACCTGCACCAATGAGAAGAACCATCAATCTACAAAATACCTGATTGCCAGTGCACTGACAGCCTGGCTGAATTGCCAGGGACCTGTGCAACCATCACCACAGAGTTGTAGATAGGTTTCTGAACACCAAACCTTGGTACAAAGAGTGACATATCTACCCCTCAGCAACCAGTTGGGTAACAGAGTGGAAATGGGTCTTGGCACCTGATGCAGGAAGAGCTGTCACCTCCTGGAGGGAGTTGGGCAGGGACAACCCGTCCTGCACCTCCTGGTTCTCCCAGAACAGGAATTCCTGGTCCAAAGGCACTGTTTCACCCAAGAAACCAAAGCCAACCAACCTCGCTGTCTGTTGTATCTGCCTCATCAGATTCCTGCTTTGTGGACTCGTCATCATCACCATCATCATCATCTAAGGAAACACAAAATTAAGGGTTTTTGGTTGGCACAGGGGGCAACAAGCACATGAATATGATACAGAGCCACAGGACCAGGCTTGGAGAGCCTTCATTATGAGGTGTCTGCATTCATAGAATCACAGAATCATTGAGATTGGAAAAGAACTCTAAGATCCCCAAGCCCAACCCCAGCCAACCCCACTGTACCCACTGTCCCCATCCCTCAGTGCAACACCTCCACAGTTCCTGAACACCTCCAGGGATGTTGACTCCACCACCTCCCTGGGCAGCTGTGCCACTGCATCACCAGTCTTTTGAAGAAGAAACTGTTCCTAACATCCAACTTGGACTTCCCTTGGTGCAACTTACAGCCATTACCTCTCTTAAAATAAAGTTGCACCCTGTCATGGCTGGCAGCTTTGGCAGCAGGAGATGTGGTGTAGCCTCTTCCCTGCTCAGCAAAAGAGGTTTTGCCACACACAGCCCCAAGGCCACACAACTCCTGGCATGTATCTGCACACACCTAGCTCCTGCATGGGGCCAGAACCCAGCATTGCCCCATCTGCACCCCCCTTGTACCAGCAGGGTTGGAGCTGTGTCCTCTTCCCTACCCAGCACCTTTAGACATCCCTGGAACCCAACCCCATCCTCATGCTGTCCTTCCAGGGGTTAAAGGTCCAATAGAAAGCACAGGAAGTATTTGTGCACTTCTTCCTGGGCTTTTTGTCAGCCTTCAGGTGAGAACTGAAGAAAGTTCTGCGTTTTCCCACACCCAGAATGTAATCAGCTGAAATTCTTCTGCTATGATGATATCTCCTCAACATGTAAATCACACAGGGCTTCCCTCCCCCCCCCCCCTTTTTTTTTTCCCCACTGTGCAAAATCCCGCTCCCAGTGTTCCCAAACCACTCCGACACGCCCAGACCAACTAATCCAGGTGAACTCAACATTCTGGCCAAGCCAGTAGGGCTGGTAAGGATCAGCTCCACATGGACGTGTTGCCCACTGTGCTCCCCATGGCTTCTGCTTCCCCCCACCAGCAAACCCAGCCCTGCCCCACAGCCATCAGCGAGAGGGAGCACCTCAGCCAGAGGGCACAGCTCAGTTGAGGGATGGAAAAAGGCTTTGCAGGGGTTGGGGTGGGGAAAAAGGAAGAATGCAGGTAACAGCATCCCTCCCCCTGTACACAAGAGCAATTTGGGAGGATGGGGAGCACCTGTTGTGGTCAGCAGGCACTGCAGGTGTTTGCAAAAGTTGTTTCCCATTGCAGATTGCCTTCACACACACACCAAAACGCACCTTTGGCATTTGCCTTCTCAGATGTCAGGCTCGCCTGAGGCTCTTTACCTGGTTCTTCCTTCTGTGCACTGGCTACCAGTCTCACCCTGGGCTCTGGAGGAGTCTCTGTGTTGCTTGGTGGTGACTTGTTTATAGGATGCATCCGGGAGAGAGCGAGCTGTAAGGGACAGTGAGTGCAGAAATCCCATAAGTACCATAAATAGAACCACTGCCTTCAAATATGGGAGAAAAGGGCCCCAGACCCATCTCACTGACTGTGACAAGTACTGTGATGAGCATCATCTCTACCCAAACCAGTGGGAATGATGCACATCTTTCCTCTGAGCTGAGTGGAAAACACCACTGCCAAACACCTATTGGTGACAAAACCACCTGTTTCCAGGGCATTTCAGCATGGGACGTTAATTGTGATTGTAATGACACTGGCACTGAGCACCAGAATTCCAACAGGAGAGAAGGGGTTGGTGTGATGCCAACCTGAATTTTACTCACCATAGCTGCCTCCTCTTCCTCTTCCTCCTCCTCCTCCTCCTTAATGGCACCAGGCTGCTCTGTGACCTGTCTCTGGGCAGCATCATGCCAGCAGCTGTGAGGCTGTGAGCTGTCCCGCTCCATCCCATGTCTTCTGCAGGAGCCATGCATGGGGCTGTCCCCTGGGCTCAGACATGGACTGGTGGCCTCCTGGTGCTTGATCCGTCCCATTCCCCTCCCACGCCTGGTGTCTGACAGGTCCAGTGGGACATCCATACCATAGTCTTTCAATGCTTCCACCTTTCCTCCGTGCTCAGAGCCATCCCGGCTCAACCAGAGCACTCTCTCCACCTTCCCATCTGCAGCATCCTCCATCCTCTCCTCCTTGCATCCCACTGCGATGCTCAGGCATGGGGACAGTGGCTGCTCCTTGGGCACAGCTTTGGGCTCCCCATCCACCCTGACCCGAAGGCTTTGCTGCTGCTCCAGATGTTGCAGCCGCTCACGGTGCTTGAGGAGGTGCAGCTTCCCCTCCAGGTGCTGGTCCCTCACATACACCACAGCTGCAGGGAGCTTCAGAAGGGCAGCTCTGTCATCCCAGTCATCACGTGGCCTTGTCCTGCCACCACCATCTGTGGCCCTGAGCAAACGGCTGTGGAAGCTGCTGTCCCCATCGGGTGGAACGCAACCACTTGCCAGCCCCAGCTGGTGCAGGGCGAGGTGCTTGTTGAGGAGGCAGAGCTGCTCTTTGCGGGCAGTCAGCTTTAGGCTTTCATAGGATGGAGCAGTCTTGGGGGAGATTGGCTTGGTTGTCGTTAAGTAACTAAAAGATATGGGAAAGAAATCATATTTTGGGGGGAACCTTCATGATTTTCCAGCTCCTGCAGGTGGTGGTGGGGATGTGGTGACCACTTACTGCTGCTGAGAATCATAGAATCACAGAATCCTTAAGGTTGGAAAAGGCTCTAAGATTCCTAAGTCCAACCCCAATCTACCCCACCATGCCCTCTGACCACATCCATCAGTGCCACATCTCCATTGTTCCTGAACATTTCCTGGGCAGCCTGTGCCTCACCAATTTTTTTTTGAGAAGAAATTTCTTCTAGTATTCAACCTGGACCACTCCTGGAGCAATTACAGCCAGTACCTCTTGTCCTGGAAGCCACCAGCCAAGCCAGACCGTGCATCCAGAGGCCCCCTGCCTCCCAGCATGGCTGTCCCCAGACTCTCCCAGTGGCTTGAAGGATCTGATGACAGAGGAGCGATCCCCAGCCCCACTCCAGAGCAGATCTCTCAGCAGTGCCAAGGAGGCAGCGCTGTGCATGAACCTGCCCATGCAAACTGAGTCCCTGATGTTGCTCTTCACTTGGCAAGTGCCCTGTGTGTGAGCAGTTCTTGGGAATGCAGGGCAGATCCCTCCCACTGTGGGCAGCTGGCAGTCTGCAGCCAAACAGCTTCTTGTGCTTCCAAAATCAATGGGGAGGAGAAGCCCTGGGAATTGCTGAGCCCTGCATAAAAGCCCATTAGAATAGATAAGGAGCAGCACGGACTGCTGCCTCCTGCTCAGCCAGGTCCTTACTCTGCAGGCTGGGGACAGGCGCCTGGGTCTATCTGAAGGTGAAGTAACACGAGACTGGACTGGTTGAGTTGGATTCCAGTCATTTTTCTCAACTGGGAGACCCTCCCCTGTTCCCTGAGGCTGTGGGCATTGTGAGAAGTGTCGACGAGAAGGTGGACAAAAAGGGATCACAATTTAGGTGCTGCTTAATGGGGTCCTGCTCCTGCAAGGGGCACAAGCAGAGGACTCACGGCTCCAGGCTGGGGCTGCGTTCCTGCTCTGGTGGCAGTGGGGTCTTCCTGGCCGGTGGAGACACTGCAGCCCTCGAAGGACTTTTCTCCAGGCTGTGCCTCACCAGGGCGATGGTGCCGTGTAGCTGGTTGGCAATTCTCTGGGATGCCTGCAAGGAAAAGTGGGGTCAGGCAGTAGGATGTGTGCTGGGCCGCTGAGAGCACCATGTGGCTCTGGGAGCTGTGCTGGGTGCAGACCCAACTCCTCGTCAGTGGTAACAGAAACTGCTCCTGCTGTTCCGTACCAATGACTCCCCATCAGCTTTTACAACAGCTCCCACCTCAGAGGTGGTAAGAAGTGATTTGATATAATTCCAATCAGTGGCTGAATCTTAATTGTTTTGGCTTTCCCAGGAAAGCTTCCCTTTGTGTTTTCCTTGATATTCTTTAATTTCTGGCTGCACTGATCTGTGGCCAAAGAGACCACATCCCTTGTCTCAAGTCAGCGGCTTAACCAAGATAAGACCCTGCAAATTCCCCAACCATTGCTCAGGACTCTGGGATTCATTCCATGCTGCTGGTATTTCTTTGGGGGTGCGTTTCCAGCAGAGACCCAGCAGTGAAGCCAGGACATCGCAATCCCATCTGCTGCGGAAGGCTCACCACGTGTTCTGACTTGACTTCTCCCTGCTTAACAGAGATGTCACCAGTCCTTCCTGTGATCCCCACATTAATTATCCTTGCAGCCTGCCGGCAGCCTCACCAGAACCTCACTTCACCCACTCCTTCAGGTTTTCTGCACAGTTCAGCTAAGCAAAGGCTGTGCTAAAACAGAAGCGGCTGTGTGGGTGTGTGTGTGGGCTTGGGTTCCCATGGCGAGAGCAGGGCTCCAGGTCCTGCAGCCTCATTTCCCAGTGCCCAAAATCATCGTATCACTCAGCATCCCTCAGCTGATACATGCTCTGTGCTTCAAAGGCATGGCTGGCTTGTATCTACACACAAAATGGTAACCAGTGAATGCCAGTTCCTCTGCAAACACCACTGTTCATTATGCTGCAGATGGAGAGATATCTGCGATGCTCTTGGGCAGGTCTGCTGTGCTGCATTTGTATTCTGTATATCCAAAATCTCCACCATTCACATGCTCTCCAGGCTTTGCCATCGTTCACAGTGCTGCAGCCTCTTGTTCCTGATTATCACTAAGAATAAGCTGCACCAATACATGAGTTGAGATAATCTCCTCATGAGAAAGATTTTCTCAGCAAGAGAGGAGCCATTGTGTTGGGGAGGGGACTCAGGGGTGCTAGATGTGTTGTCATGAAGGGCAAACTGAAGATGTACTCTCCTACAACAAGGAACAGAAGCCTATGATAAAATCTAAAGGATTTGCTAGCAGACAGTGGCAATTCCTGCAAAGCATGCACCTATCATTGAGTTTTCCTCCTTATCCCTGGCAACAGCATTCTGCCCAATTCTAGGTAGTTATTTTACCCTCTTAAGTATTTCCTACTCATTCTCCATCCGTTTCAACCCCTTCTCACCCAATGCAAACAGGGAGCAGCCCTGGGCTCCCTCTGTCTACTCACCATTTCTGCCAGGCTGGCTTCTTGGAGGATAGTGCTTGGGGAAATCCTGCTGCAAGGAGAGCTTCTCTGTCCTGTGGTCTTCTCTGCAAACAAAAGACAAAACCAGCCTCTGGAACAGTCCCACTGAACTGAAAATTCCTTCTGGTTTTAGCAAGTATGTGAATGAATGGACTCTCCATTGCATGCATAACTGGCACCAAGGCAAACATATGGTCTCTGCACCATATGGGTGGTGGCTGCATGCCTGCACAGAACCTGTCTTAGAGCAAGAGCATCCAAACACCCCCAGCTACTGTTTGCACAAAGCAGAGCAGCATAATTGTCCCTATTCCGTGTGAACATCCATCTGAGCTGCCAGCAGCTTGCACTATGCTCTCCAGGCCCATTCCTTGAGTAGTTCTGCCCCATGGCTCACCACTCTGTCTCATCTCCAGGACCCCAGGCGGGTGGTTGGACCACAGCACCCACCTTCCCCCAGCTCGAGGCCCGGCACACCATGCTGGGAGTCCTCTGCTGCTCCAAGAGCCACTCTGTCGGCGCTGGTGTTCCTGCTAGTGGGGGACAGTAATGGCAGTGGGGAGCTGGGTGTGGAGCTGTGCTCCCTGGAAATGGCTCCTTGGTACTTGATCCTGTCCCTGCAGAGAGCAAAAAGACACAGAGGGATGAGAAGGGATGGGAGAAGGGAATCCTCAGTTTGAGAGCCACTGTAGCAGCAGCTTTGAGTTACAGAACCTGATGTGTAAATATACATATTTATATATCATGTGGATAGACCGGATCTTCAGCATCACCTCCTTCCCTTTCAGGTTATCACTGGCTTGGCTGCAGTCCACAGCATGAGACAGAGCCAGCATGACAGCTCAAGGTCTGATTTCCCCACCTGCCCATGGTTAATCTTATGGGGAGCCACGAAGTTGGGTAAGACAAAACCCCATTGCAGCAGTTGCAAAAGCTCTGTGATCTGTACATCCCTGTCTGATGTAGGGCTGGATTCAGAGCTCCCAGTGTCACCATTTTGAGATAGCGTATCCCTTGGAGGGAGCTGCTTTGAGTCTGAGCCCCACACTTTGGTCACCAATCAAGTCCTGACCAGACTTTGATGCCAAGACATGGGTGTTTGGTTGGAACCTTCCAATGCAGCAGCCAAGGGAAGAGCAGAGCTCGGTGCTTACCAACCCAACAGAATCAGCAGCTCCCAAACTGCTCAGACCTTGAAGAGCATCAGAGGATAGCAGTGAGTTTCTCTTTAAGTAGGCAGTGCTTCTGAGCTCCAAAGAAAACACATTTCTAAACTAATCCCTCGGTGCTAATTCCTCTGGACTTTAAGCCCTTGAGGAATGAGCTGATTTGTATGTATCAGCCTGCCTGGCAGGTTCCTTGGCTTTCAGCATTAACCTGCTGGAGCAGGTCTTTCCCTTGTTATCACTGGATCCCCATGTTCCCAAAGACTCAGCTATTGGGTGCATGAGAAGAGGGGAATGAGCAAAGCACAATGAGGACTTGGACCTTTAAAAGTGTTTTGCTGTCTTAATGCCTATAGGAAACTATCCCTGCGGACACAAAGGTCCAGATGTAGCCCTGCTCAGTGGTAGGAAAGCCACACCAGCACCCTGTGCCATGGATGACATTCAGAGAGCACTTACTCTGGACTCTGGAGCCTCTTCAGTTCTTCCTTGAGAGTTTTGTTCTCCTCCTTCAGGCGGCTCATCTCATTGGCTACAAAGAGACACCAGGAGAGCCACAGCCTTTGGGTGCTGAATGGAGCAGGATGGTGCTTGACCTCTTATCTCTCCTTTTTCTGGAGATACAGAGGGCTGAAACCCCAGCTCCAGTCTTCATGTGTAGCTGTCAGACGTGATTCCTTAGCACCTCCATGCTTCCTTCACTCCCTCCCTCCCTCCTCCCCATCACCAACTCCTCCTCCTTGTTCAGCCACTGAGTGGCTCTCTGCAGGTATCAGAACAGCCCCAATAAGCCAAATCTGAGCTCACAGCAGACCTTGGTACCTACTGAGAATGAAGATGTGCTGGAGGCTCTGGAAATGGGAATTCTCATATTCATTCTGCTTCTTTTTTGCCAGCTCCTGGGTGACCATGCATCTGTCACAGAGACCTGCTCGCAGCCTGGATGAAAACCCATGGTTGGGAGCTTGTTACCATGCATTCATATGGGGAAATGGGACCGTGCCTGTGCAGTATATTGCACTCCTCACCATTACCCGGAGATGTGACACCAAACAGCTGACCATGAAATCCTACCTGTTCTCCAGCACTTTTACATTTTCTTTGAGGACCTTCTGTTGTTCCCTTAGTTGGTGGTTTTTAGCAAACAACTCTTCAATTCTCTGGGCATCGCTAATGCAAGAAAAGAGTCAGGAAAAGAGAGTTACTGGGCTTCTCCAAATACCTATGGCTTCATTCTCAGTGCCTAGACTGTGGGAAGGGTTTCTGCTCTGAGCCCACTGTACTGCTTGCACTGCTGGTGCTTAAATTTGGCACTGCCAAATAGGTGAAGGATGCTCTCTAAAACAGGGAAACAGCGGCTTAAGGCTGTAGGCACCTCTGTGATGCACAGAAGTGCCTGGAAGTCTTAAAACCCATCCCCTCCTCCTGCTGGGACATCGACACCGCAGGCACTGCTCACCGGCACTTCTCTGTCGTCAGCTCCGTTAGCTTTGTTTGCAGACCTGGAACAAGGAACAGAAATGGAGAGATGGAGAGATGGGTGCTAATTGCAAATCCCACAGGACCTCAGAAACAAAAGGCAGTCACCTGACTTCTGCCTGAAAGGAACTTCTATGCTTTGCAAACCACATACCTGAGAAAGACCAGCACGCATCCTGCACCAAACGACACCGCAGTTTGACACAACTGGCAAAGCTGTACAGCATGGGAGCAGGTTTTGCATTTCCACTGTTTAATGGATTTGCATTTCCCCTCCTCCCCCAAAAGTCTGTTACAGTTTTGTTTCTGGTTCTTTTAGCTACAGCAGACATTTCCCAGGAGGGCAGTATTTTATAGCTCTGGGGGCTGCAAAGCGTCTCGGAGAATATTTACAGCTCAACAAGAATACTTTCATTGATGGATCTGCAGATGTTACGTTTTGTCAAATCCATTTTATGCAAAATAGATGTAAACATGTGGTTTAGATTGCTCAACAGTTTCCTCTAACTCTCCCGTGGCCCGAAATCACAAAGACTAAAATGAATTCATAAGCCAGAATCTTCCAAAAGCACTGTTGCTTTGTTCATAATGCTGACACTGGGAATTGTTTTTAATAGGAAAGCAATTGGATTTGGCATTTGCTTCCTTAACTGAACGGTTCTTACTTTAATGATGTATGACTAGGAAATTCCCAAGAGGAATTAACTATCTAAGGTTTTCCACAACACGGCATTGAATTGCTTCTTCCTTGTAGACCACTGTGTCTTTCCCATTCCCTCTTTCCCTCAGTATCCAAGCTGTATCCCAATAAGATGGAGGAAACACACCATCAGAGGGTTATTTGAAACCAAGCAGATGAAGGCAGCACCAAAAAGGAATGGACTTCGTCCAGCTGTTAAGAAGACTTATCACGTCTCCTTACCTTGAACTTCTTTTTCATGGATTTCCTTGAGCTTGTTCAAGAATTCTGCAAAGCTCTCTGTGGTCATGTTCAGGGCTGTGCTGTGCTCCTGGGTCACACACAAGGATGTCCTTTTGTTTCAGATTACTCAGATTTTAGCCTAGAACAGAAAAAAAATGTCCAATAAAAAATCTATCTTGTGGATATTTGGTTGGACTACATGATCTTAGTGGTCTTTTCCAACTTGAATGGTTCTACAATTTTATGATATGGTGTTTTGCTAAGCCTTAGAAAGAGGACAAAGAAATACCTTCCCAAATGTAGGAAGTAAAATAATTTGCTCACCCACACATGCAACAAGAGCAGTGTGTTCACTGGGGTTTTCACAACAGTGCACCCTGAATCAGTCCAGAGCTGGAAGCGCAGACAGAATAGTGATGGCTTGAATAGTGGGAACACCACAACAGATACTTTTGGGGACTGTGGGGCTCTATGTGGGGAGCAGGACTCGTGTCCCATGCTGCTGGGAGAAAAGTCTTTGAAGCTGTAGGGCTGGAGCCTGATAGCTCTACAAATGCTTGCCTGATACGCACCGCTCGACTGCCCAGCTGCCATCGCCCTGGCTGCCCTGCTGCCTCCTCGCACCTGGGGAGACACCAAAACCAGAACCATTAGTCCTGTTCCTGTTTTCCAGACGCTTGGAGAGGAGAAGGCTGAGTGAGATCCGTGGCCCCTCAGAACCATGGGGAGGGCTCGGGTCTCTGCTCCCCCTGCCTCTGCCTTGGTTTCCCCATTGATGCTGTGGGGTTAGGGTCAGCGTTAGTAAGCCGTGGTACCCCCAGTTCAGTAAGCTGTGAATGACAAGATTGTAGGGGTTGGAAGGGATCTCTGGAGATCATTCAGTCCAACCCCAAAGGCACCAGGTAGCCATCAATCTGAAAATCAAGTGGCAGGTTATAAAATCTGCCCTAACCCCAATGATCACGAGCTCTGATGTTGCCAGCAGGGATGCTGACATTGATCTAAACTTTCTCATTCCAAAATGGGGATGCTTAGCCAAAACCTTGGGCAGTATCAGGATATGACAGTGGTCTCCCAGACAGCTGTGATCCCTCCTGGGCCAGGCAGTGCTGTTGAACAGCACGTATACAGATGTCACTTGGGGCATTGCAGAGGGTCCCCCACTTGCTTTGGGTGTCTGATTTGTGTGCCCTGGGCCAGCAAACCCCACACAACAGGGAGAACCCAGAAACCCCATGGCAGCATGGGAAGAGTTCTGCAGCTGCTGCACGCTCCCCATCCCTGCCGGCACCTGCGTGCCTTTATCTGCATGCAGAGCAGAGGTGTGCCTGCATCGCCTGCATATGCAAGATGTGGGCATGAAGAGCTGGAAGGAGAAACTTTCCCCTAAAGGGTCTGATTTTAAAAAGAAATTAGGCACGCGCCAGTGAGCACAAGCAGCAGGCTGGGCTTGTGTGCTCTCACCACGCTCAGCTCAGCGTGACGGAGACTAAAATACAGATCAGAAACTCAGCTGCAAAACCACGCTCTTAGAACATGAACATCTGAGCAGCTCCCCTTGCCTTTTGAGCATAAAAATGTAAGAAAAAACACTGCTGCCCCTTCTGTGGGCAGAAAGCAGCCTGTGCTAGCAGTGTCCCGAGCACACACAGCTTGTTGCAGCTCGCACAGCCAACAGGCTGCTGGGGATCAGCCACCGTGAAATGGGATTGGGAGCTGATCTCTTCTGCTCAACCTCAAAAACCACCGCTTAACAATGAGCCAGGTGAAATAATACCCAGCTCATCTCCGACAAAAACCCGATGAAATGATGTTAACAAGGACACCATCTGTGCAGCTGGCAGCCTCTTGGAGTTGCTGAGTGAGGGGGAGATGGGGAGGTTCACCGCTGCCTAGTAGGGTGCCGGTGGGAAGACTTTGAAGTGTTGAGGGGTGGGATGGCTTTGCACCTGGAAGCTGAGCAGGTGTCATGGTGTGGGCTCCATTCTGGCCTTCGAGCACTGGATCGGCCCCTACTCACACTGCCCTGTCTCACTGTCATCATCCCCATCTATGGCACTCAGGGCTGAGGCTGGGATGTGCCAGGAAGGAGATATCTGGGTTGGGATGTGGGGGGAGCAGGCTCCAAGCCCCAAAAACAGTGCAGGCTGCAGGCAGCAGGCAGCTGCTGTGAGTCAGTGCTGTGGGCAGAGCCTGGTGGGTCAGGATCCGGGCTGTAATTTTGGCTGGGGTGTAGGCAGCAGCCTTGCTCCCCTCACACAACTCCAGCAGGGCTGGGACTCTGTTTTGGTCTTTTTCTCAGTGCTCCTGAGTCAGCAGTGGATATGCCTGCTGGGGATTTGATTTTGAGGCTTTGGATGAAAAAAGCTATGGAGATTTTTGCTGCTTTTTTTGAGATGCTAGCATCCATCCCTGTCTGCAAAAGGGGCCTGCAAATGGGACTGCCATTGCAGCAAACCTGGAGGAGAGTTTTGGTCTCTGCTCTGTGTGCAACCACAGTTACTGTGAGACACAGTATGAGCATTGTTCCCCTCTCCTCTGTACCCAGGATTTGGCCTCTTGCCATGCAGATCAGCCCCACGGATCCCCCAAGTTCTTGAGGAGTTCAATTTTCCTCCTTCTTACACTGCATGGACCAGCTCAGGTGGGAATCCACATCCACTCACTCCTCCGACCCACTCGGGAGCATTTATTGAGAAAGATTTATCACTGAAGATTAGACCACAGAATCCCTGTGACAGGGTTTTCACTTGCAGCCTTGAGCCCTTCTCAGAACTGTCACCATAATTTACACAACATGGTGCTGGATGCTGCAGGGCCAGGAGCAGCTCCTCGGTGCGCTGCTGGCATGGGACCACGCGTATCTCAGAGCCATGGGTGCCCTCTGTTTGCAGAGCCCAGTGCTGGGGCCAGCCCCCATATCTGGCTGCTTTGGAAAGAGAGCCAAGGCTGATGCTTGCTCTCCATACCCATGGCTGGGGGGATGATTTCTCATCCCCTGCTATGGGGTTTGGGAAGTGATGGGCTTGAGCAGCACTGCCTGTTTCAGAAGAATGAAGCAGCTCTTTGGCTAAACGAGCTTAAGTCATTCAAAAATAAATAAATTCAAGACTCTGAAGTTCTGACAATATCAGATCAGCTCAGCTTAATGGATTTACAATCAGGTATTTCCTCATCAGCAGTACCGGGTTTATGCAATACACTTTTTGCTGTGAGACTGCTGGGCAGAACTTCCATCATTAGCCAGGCTATTTTTTCTTGGCCACCCTCTATGTTCCAGTCTAATTTTACAAATAAATTAATTTATACTCACAAAAACTGCCTCATCAGTCACGGAAAATCTGTAGGGCCCTTGGCCCATTGGGGGATGCTTCTTCTTTCCCTAACACCTGTGGCAATCACCAAAGTGCTGGGGATTTTCCCCCATTATATTATTATTTCCCCAAATCCCCCACCTGGACACACGCTCAGGCCCTGCTGTGCCATGGTGTTGCCTGGAGCATGGTGGGATTTGGGCAGAGGCATGGGCAGCTCGGGAAGCCTGAGCAAGGATTCAAAAGATGGTTTAAAGGAGTCCCTTATCTGCCTGTGCATCTCGGGATAACCACTGCTTCTATAAACATCGCTTAATTAACACCTCAAAATGCTCTGGGAAACGGGTAATAAAGCATTATTGCGTTTTTCAGGTGTTTTAATTGAGAAGTGGTGAGGCTCAGGGAATAGCTCAAGGCTCTGTCGGGAGCAGAGGTGCACCCATAGCACCCGAAAGTCCAATGCTTTCACAGCCTCTCCCTGCCCAAAGCCCCCATCTGTGCACAGCAGGTGGGAGCAGCCCTGGGAAGGGCTGGGGATAGATGAATGGATGTAGTGCATGGCACCCGGAGCACCTCGGGCATGAAAATCCATCCTAACCACAGTCACATAAACTGGCACCTCTGCACCTGTGTGCACGAACATTCTGAGTCAGTTCAATGTGAAAGAAAAGGGTAAATTTCCTTCTGCTGGACATGATGCGGGTAATGAAGTTCTTAACTGAATCCACTTTTCTCCTCAATGCTATTTATAAAAGGAAAACACCTGCAAACAGGTGCTGGTGGAGATGAGGGGCTGCTGCCCTCAGGAGCTTGTGGGGCCTCATGTTCTGGGTCTGGCTCTGGGAACCCTGAGAATAGGCATGCCCCAATAGGTTGCCCAAGGAGCCCCTGCTGATGGGGTTCCCCAAGGCAGATGCCCTACGAGGATGCTCTGGGACCCCCTGCAGCTGGAGATGCCCAAAAGGAGATTCTCAAGTGGGAATATTTCAGAAACTCAGAAACTGGTGGGGATGTTCTGATGGGGAATTGGCTGCCTGACCTGGGACAAAGAGGGCTGCAAGAGGCCATTTGTA